ACTTTCCCTTTTCTTTCCCTTCTCCTGCTCTCTGAGACTATCTGAAAGGACTCCGGGGGTTTTTATTCTCCTTTTATCTTGGCGGAGCCTTCGGAGGACATTCCAAGATGCGAAGCAGTACTGTGAGCCACTTGGAAGATACAATTTTCATTTCAAGGAAGAGAGAGCAAGCCATTTTGACTGCTTGCCTATTCAAATGAACTTTTTAAAAAATGAGCGATAGATGTGGGAGTTTAGCCCTTGTCTGTGAGTTGTCTTGAATTTATAATGTTTTACCCATGTACAAAAATATTTTTTTTTCCTATAAACTTCTGTAGCATTTTTGCTGTAAAAATGCAGAATGTTTTATCATTTGTGCTTCAGCACCCTGTCTTGGACAGATTAAAGGACCTAAACTGGTTCGTGTTACTTCTGTGCCGCTAAATGAAGCAGGGCTGTGAGAAATAGTCTGTCTTGAGCCTTTTCTCTCTTAAGGTTGTTAATGTCAGAGGCAGCAGGTAGTGTCCTGCTGCTGCCCTGCAGCTCCCAACAACGTACGTGTGCTATGCTTAGGGTGCTTGCCGGAAGGAGCGGGGGAGAGGAATACGATGGCTGAGGTAAGCCCTGTGTGGAAGGTGTATGTTGCATGCTAGCCAATTGCTTTTTTTTCTTTTTTGTTTAAAAAAAAAAGAGTAAATTGGATCTTGTACCAAGGCCCTGCACCTCAGTGACACTCTTGCAGGCATTGTCTCCTCTTCTCTTGACTCGTCCCTAAGTGTGAAACAAATATATTGAAACATGGGGTCGGGGGCAGTGACTGTGCTTGCCACCTTGACCAAACAACGTGCCTTCTGACATTCCTTGGGCTTGGTGAGGGTGACTGCCTCCACCAGAGTGGGGATGATGGAGGTGCTAGGTCCCTCGGCAGTAGCTGCTGGCCTCTTCTTCTAGCCAGGCGCTTGGCTGGTGTCCTGCAGCGGCAGCTGTGAGGGGACAATGCTGCTCTTGAGTGGCTGCAGCACGTGGGTGCAGAAAGCACCAGGGGCACACAAGCCGCGGGGGCAGCTGCTGTTTTGGTTTAACCCGGGCGGTATTGGCTGCAGGGCCCGTTCGCTGTCAGTTCAAGCCTCCCCTGGGCACAGGTACCTGCAGGCTCAAATGTCAACTGCCCGTGTCCCACCGAAAGGTCCTCTGCCGGCCTGTCCTCCTGCAGGCTTCTGCTTCCCGGCTGGCGGGCAGTGACCTTAAGCCTCGGCTCTGGCTGTGGTGGCGGAGAGCTCTGCCTTCCTTGCATAGTGTAGCAACACTGGGAATGTTTTTTATTGCCATGCAAAGTCCTCGCAGCCCCCCAAACGCTGATGAATCCACCTCTGCATATCGATTCCCAACGTGGAGCCCCCGGAGGAAAAAAAAAAAAGGGTTTCTCTATATGTTTTATATTAACCAGTGGGGGAACGGTTGCTTTTGGCTTGAGGGTTCTGCTGCGGGAGACCCGGGGAGGGGTTTGCGCGTCTTGTT